CAAGCTATTTGTCTCTCCTTTTGTTTTTTTTTTTCTCCCTTTGTCTAAAATGGCATTTTTTACACATTGTGCCTTGATTTTTTACTCGCTTACTAGCACAGCATCATTTTCTGTTTTAATTCTACTACCTCTTTCGGTTAGACATTGCTTGCATTCGAAATTTTGTGTTTTTCTGCTTGCTAATTCTCTTTGGCCACATTATGCCTGTCGACCCGGTTTTGTGCATTTTGCCGTGTAGGCGGGCTTCGGACCTTTTTAGGATAAAAGACCTGCCTTCGTTATTTTTCGGACATAACCACTTTCATATGATCTTTGATGCGCTGTTCCAGTGGTTCATCGCTTGCACTGGAAAATGCGATACGTATTGTTGGTGGTATTGGTACATCGTTGGTTGATGTAAAGGATGTCCCGCAGCTTGCATTCAGCGTAAGTTGAAATTTTTTTGTTCCCCGCGGTTTCAAACATATTTACAGGATGTTCATAAACGGTGTAAAGTATTACTTCAGATTTTTCAACAAGCATTTTCGGAAACATCCACGCATCACGATCTCATCGTAGCCGAACTGGCCAATATGTGGATTGCTGGCGCGGTATGCTACCTCTCTGCAACACATACATATTGAGAGAGCAGTTCTTCATGTGCTAATTTAAAGAGCTGCCGTGAGATCCACTGCAAATAGTACCTTTTTTCAGCGCGAAATATATGATTTAATTTGGTTGTTGTTCACGAAAATAACAATCGAGTCGAGCAGCCGTGCCTACGCCTCCGACATGACCGACAGCGCCGAACATCGATACGCGTTAGTATTCATTAAAATATCACCAATCATAATTTCTTCTCAAAATTAGACTTATTTTGTTGTTACCGATTTTGGATTACCTTGTACAAGAATGCCAAAATACACTGATTTTATGGTGCGCATCACTGTTGTAAGAGTTAACATAAGTAAAAATACTTTCCTAAAAAAAATCGTAAATCTTAAAAATTACCACTTTTCTGTTATTCCCCACTTTTTTGACTCGAGATAGAGCAGCTTAAAATAGTTATAAAATTACTTTGCATCTGCCCAATTATAAAATTATTTTTTTAAGGCATCTTTCTTTGGCAGTTGACAACGCGATGGCAAAGATGGCCGAGAATGTGAGGGATGATGAGGACAAAATGACACTGTTGTATCGTCTGCTGGAACTGTTCGTGCAGCTAGGACATGAAGGCAGAAAAGCTGGTGAAAAGTCAGCAAAAGTCATGAAAGTGAGATTTTTCTTGATGGTCCTCTTGTTTAAAAGGCGTTTTTTTTGGATATTAAATGCTTACACGAAATATCGGGCTGGAGCGTTACGGTCTTTTATGCTTAAAGAGAAAAGCTGCCTTTTTGTACAGGAGGTTTTTTGTGTGGACCGAATGAATTATTCCTGTTTTTCGGGTAAATCACGGCATTTTTGGTTTTTGCTTTTGTAGTAACAGCTAAACACTTACAATGTCAACTTTAGGTTTCGACTGGAGCAGGCAATTTGGGTGTTTTGATACCAAAAATTGCTTCGCTGTTGCGTCGATCTACGACCATACATAGTCCACCTGTGCGACTGAGGAATTTGTTTCGTGACTTCTGGTTTTATTGCACTGTGCTTGGCTTCAACGTTGCCCGAATAGGTTGGTTATCGCCGTGCGCACATTTTCAATTTTTCTGATATCTACTGCGCCACTAAAACTGGAAAGATTGCCATATTTTGAGAATGAGATATTTAGGTCAAATGTAGTTTAACTGTCATGTTGTCCCTCACTATTTATGGAGCTAACAGCTTCTCCTCAATGTTTTGGATATTCTGTCCACATAATTCTGTTTGGGCATTCGAATAAATCCATCCACTTCATCGACAGCCTTCCCTGTGCTCTTTAAAATTTTATATTCCACGTTGCCGTTCTGTTGTTTGTCTTTTTTGCCCCATAACTAACTTTCTTTTTTGCGTTTACTTCTGATTGGAGTCGTGTTTGAAGCATCCAGAATGAAGGTACTGCCTAATGCATGCATATTATCCGTTCTTTAATGGTGGGCGAGAAAAGTAGCGATGTTTAGGTCTATGGCCGGAGGAGTGGTACGAAGCGGCTTGTGAAATCGCCTGTAAATCGCCTGTGCTAACACCCCAGGAAAGTCTGCGCGCCGAGCTGATCGCAAATACAACAATTAAAAGTGATGATATTTCATTGGTTTGTTTTGCATTTTTAAAACTTCAGAATGTGATTAGCAGATAAATTGCTTGGCGTTTCAGCTTCTTTTGACCTCTGGGTATGGCCGTATTTCGAGCGTAGCTGTGCCAAGCCATTCTGTTTTAAAATATCTGCTTGCATTTTCTACGTCTTGCCTCCTTTTTAAGCATATATTTTAAGCTTTGCCGCTGTATTTGCTCTTCACTGTCACTTTTCATTGCTGTGGATCGTCAGCTGCTGTTTTGTAAACCAAATGATTTTAGTTTCCCTTATGACCAACCAGCGTTTACCCGCATTTTGATCGTCTTTACTAGTAACATTCAGTTTCGTTCTCGTAACGTGGAGGCAACAACCTACAGAGTGAAAGAAGTACATCAAAGTCACGAACAATGAGGAGGAGGGATTGAGGCGGGAAGGCATGCGCCAATTGGTTGTCATCGAAGCTCCTTAAGTACGAGTGTGTTGCACATGCGCTGTCTGTGTGTGTACTGGATGTACATACATTGGGAGTGTGTGTACTGATTTGCGAAAGTGTGCTGAGGGTACGTATACTCGCTGTCTGTGCGCATTAATTTCTA